GAAAAAGTCAAGGGATAGAACCACCGCCAAAACGACCTCCGAATTCTTTGGCCCCTAGGTTTCCTCATTTTGGAGAAATGCATCTGTTCGTTCTTCACCAAATGGGCGCATATCAATGATCATGATAGTGGTTATGTTTTTGATCAAGTATTTTTCGGGAAGGTCATCGGAGAAAAAAAGTATTGAAATTCGGCCAGTAGTTATGGCACAACCTTAGTGTGGTCGGAGCTATTCAGAGGGAGTGTGGCCAGGAACTTTGGTGATATGTTTTCTTATAAACTCCTCAGTCGAAATGGTTGATGTGTAGGAACGATACGTTCGATCCATTCCCTATTATGGAGGTAATGCTGGTGGAATGTGCTATTTGTGATATGAGGCCACTTTCAGTAGCGTGATTTATGTATGTTGACCCTATGGGACTAGCTAACGATTTAACTCTTAAACAGGCTTTGAAACGAGGCTTCGTAAGTGCCCAAGGTTCACGCAACAATGACACCTGATACGTACTACATATTTCAGCCATGTGGCCTACACAATGGCTCACGTAGATTAGCCGATGTGTCATTGTTTTTATCCTCTCAAAGAAATCTGGTTTGACCACGGAGGTTCTGGCTTAGCCGGAGCTAAATCCGAGACTTCACCTCTTATTTGCACGTGTGGTAAGCAGCGCCTTTTCCTGTACACCACCACTGTCACCAAACCAACTACTCAGAAGGCTAAAAACACTGAGTCAAACGTAAACTGTGACTTGCCTTCTTGGACAAAAACGAATGCATAGCGTGCACTCAAACAAATTTAAAAACTTTGAGCCTTTTGAATTTTCCTTGAAATGGGTACACAAGATTTTTTTTGTGCTTGCATGCGTTCGTTTAGAGAAACAAAGAAAAAAACAAAGTCTGACAAGCACTAGGACGATCATGCAAAACGTACTATTTTAGCCTACCTTAGCAGTCTCCCATTCTTTGGAGCAACCGCCTTGTAAGGAGGAACTCTGAATACGAAAAATCCTTGGTTTATATGTAAAGAACGGAGGTCGACTTATAACTCGGTTTTTATGAGCTGGAATCAAACGCAGTCGAGGTTCTGTTGATTGGACTAGAAACCCTATCAGAAAGGGCCCCATTTGAATGAAGGGCACATTCAAGTTTAACACGTTGACGACCGTGTGGTATGATGTCATACCACACTCTTTCGGCCACGTGGGACCGTGTGACATGATGTCATGTCACAGTCTTTTTTAAGCTGGTTTTCAAACATTTTAGGTAACTTATTTACGTGATGTATGCGCCATACTTAGGCATTGTTACAAAAGGCGTGGTCCCTGGAAAGAAGCTTCGGTTGATGGGCTATCGAGTTTTTCTAAAAATGTTTGAATAATGATCAAATCACAGGAATCGCTAAAATGGCCAAAATCGCATAATCGGAGACCTACCACACAAGAAAGATAACAAATACACACTTCCTGAGTAAAAGGAGTTCTCGTGGGACCGTTTGACATGATGCCATGTCACACTCGCGCGGTCCCACACGCCAGACAGCGAAAAATAGCGCGGTCGTCAACGTGTTAACTGAAGAGTACCGATTTCTTCTACGAGTGAGATAGCTGGATCCGCAAGCGCACAAACCAATCTGGAAACGCCAACGCGCGCCCACTATTGTAAATGGTTGGTGTCTGCGTTTCGCCCTTTCTCTATGATCTCTCTTGGCAAGAGTTTGTTTTTTTTCTCGCTCAGAGCCTCGGTGTCTTGTAGTCTCGTTCACAGCCAAAGTAAGAACCTTTATTTCTGGTAGTTTTACTATTTTTTTACGTTTCTACTTTTTTCCTCCTTCTTTCAAATGATAGTTCACGTTGCCCCTCCAAGATTAACTCCAAGCGCAATTTCACATCGAGGTGATCACGGAATGTGCCTTTAAGTTTAAGCTGTGAGGAAATCCTCACCTTTGTGTAGGAGCAAGAACGCAGCTCGGACTCATCGATATAGCTTCTTCATACGATGGCAATGCTGCTCGACTGTTGTCATACTGTAACAAAGAAAAAAGAGCAAGCTACAATTTTATATGGCCTGGTCAAAGGCTCGAGGTGAACAACGATCAGACGCACAGACGCTGCATTATTGCGTTGTTCAAAAATTTCCCTTTTTGGAACCTTGAGAGAGACGGGTGGATTACGCCGTCGAACAGTGTCTGCAGACGCGCTGGGCTCGTGCACGGTAATCCAAGTTGGGGGGAGGGGGGGGGTGAAAGGGGCTGTAGGGTCAACCATCGTTCGAGCACTCCTCCTCAAGAAGGTAGGATCTGTGATCTTCAAGTGGGAAGGGAGTCATATTTTTGAGATTATGTTCCTCGACAGAGATGGGAAAAGAAGTTTTCTGGGATGTAACAGATAGATTTAGATAGAAAATGTCGCACTCTTCGTCCCAGCAGTTTATGTAGCCCTCTGCTCGAGATGAAAAATCAGAAGAAAGATTCAAGTATTAACCCTTTCGGACCTGAATTTTTCCCCGTGGAGAAATTTTTCTTCTAGCTATTGTTTATTACTTGTGAGCATATAGGTATCATTATGGCGAAATTTGGAAGCTATTCGATCACAAACAAAGAAACTAAGAAGCTTTGAAAATTGGCCCACCTTCTTAGTTTTTAAGCTTATGTCGAAACAATTCAAATTTCATAGTTATGCCGAAAAAGTTTATAATCTTGCATAACATTATAACCCATAATTTTGATTTAGGAATGGATCTACTTCAAGTATTTTAAGAAAAAGTCACACTTACTTGGCCGGTTGCGGGGGTCAGCGCCGATTCATTGTTGCACTTGTACACAAATACTTGTAATACTAACAGCAACACACAATGAAATGGCAGGTTTAGCTCATAATTAGGAAGGGGAAGGTTGACTGAAGCAACCTCTAGCAGGATTAGAAAAACCATGCTGTTTCAGCGGCAATGCAAGCGTTTGAATTTGGTGGTGGCAATTGCCACCGCCAGGGCCGAAAGGGTTAAAAATACAGCTACGCCACGCAGAAGTTATTACGTATGTAGGCTGACCCAGATATCAAGAAAGCTTCTGAAGCAAAGGATAAGATTGTACTACGACCCTTGGAAGTTTCCCAACGCAATATTGACCCTGAGTGGATTGGTAATTGCAAAATATTCGTTATGCCATGCTCAACCCTATCTAACCTCATGGAAGGCAATTGGGACGGTATCTTTCTGTCAAGAAATGCCAACATGCTCCAGTTCAAAAAGGGTTAGGCGTGACCATGTCCCATGATTTTCCTCCGAAGAAGCAACGATTCTTCATAGATGCGACATTGCACCATCGTCCTTAATGAGTGGGTCAGATTTGTACAAGTTCATTAGGCTTCAAGGCATCGCAGCTGCCGGCAGGGAGGGGAGGGGATATGACTGCTCTTCTTTTGGAATAAAGTTAATTTTTTTACTTACGCTAATCCCTCGAAGATTCGCTATACACAACGGTGAAGTTGATGTTCGCTCTGTTGCGGTGCTATTCGTCACTCGATTTATGGCAGCAGCAATCAACGCATAAAAAAGCAATATGTTTAGAAGTAACAAAGGAATATTATAAAATATTCTACACAGAGTTGACAAGATTTCTAGGCTAAGCTTTGTGGTATGGCTATGCTGGCCGTGATTGGCTTGCCATCTACAATGACCAATCGCAGACACCACGCGCCACACACCAACCAAACATCAAGCGTGATAAGTGTATTCGACGTCATCTTCACAAATGTTTAAGGCTTCAATTAAGAGCTCCATACGGCAAGAAAAAATGAGAGTGAAGAGAGATTCAAGGGAAAATATAACCGGTAGACTTTCCTACCTCTCGCCTTCGTTGTCTTTTCAGCTCGAAGAATTTCATGGCGGTCTTCTTGACAGCTATGCAAAAAGCGACCCATATTATAGCCGAAAGCAGCAGCAATAATACAACCATGATCAATAGCAGCAAATCCTCTCGTTCATCGGTCAGGACCATAACTGAAAAGTCCTAATAATAAGGAAAAAAATGAGTTCTGAGAATTTCAAAGGGTGGAATGAGGAATGCTCGAGCAGAACACAATTTTTTCGG